GAACTCCTACTTGAGTAGGTTGAATGAGGATGTGCCGAATGAGTGTCCGGCATGCGGAGAGACCCCACATGACTCGAAACATCTCTTCGCATGCGCGGAAAACCCGACAGCCCTAACGGCCTTGTCCATGTGGACAAACCCCACAGAAGCTGCACGCTTCGTAGGGTTGCCGTTAGTGGAACTTGACGACAACGACTGAGATACCAACCGCCTGGGCGGGGTTGTTGTAGCCGCTACAACAACAACAACAACAACAACCCGAAAATCTTCGGAGTTACCTTCGACAGTCTGCTCTACTTCTCGGCGCATACAACCGCAATTGTCAACAAAGTACAGAGCCGCAACAATGTCCTCAAGTCGCTGGCCGGCAGCACTTGGGGCAAAGATAAAGAAACATTGTTGGCAACATACAAGGCAATTGGCCGGCCGGTTCTGAACTACGCAGCGCCCGTATGGTCGCCGGGGACTAGCAGGACGCAGTGGATGAAGCTGCAGACCTGCCAAAACACGGCATTACGAACTGCGACAGGATACCTCCTGATGCCGCCTCAACACCACCTTCACGACGAGGCCCAGATGCTCCCAGTAAAGGAGCATAACATAATGCTCTGCAAGCAGTTCCTCACTGAGAGCCACAGACGTGCCCATCCCAGCGGGCAACTGCTCGCGGAAGAGCCCTCGCCACGGCACGTCAGGAGGCATCTTTACGAACTGACAGACGAAGTCCAGAGATATATTAAACAACCTCTGGATCCGTCAACCTACCGACAGGCCCTGAACGGCATTCACAGGGAATCAGTCTCAAGTTATGTAGACTCCCACCCTGTGAATGCCGTTCTAGGCACACAACCACCGGACGTGGACGGGACAGAACTTTGTCTGCCTCGGGGGACCCGCACTACAATAGCCCAACTTCGCTCTGGCTCAACAGCTACCTGAGCAGAATCAACGAGGATGTGCCCAACCAATGCCCGGCATGTGGAGAGTCGCCACATGACTGCCGGCACCTCTTCACATGCCCTGAGAATCCCACTCAGCTAACGCCCCTGTCCCTATGGACAGCCCCTCTGGAAGTAGAACACTTCCTGGGCATCCCCCTAGCTGAAATAGACGACAACGTTGATGAATGAACCGCCCCGAACGGGGCTTAGTAGCCGCTACAACACAACAACAACAAAAATCAATTACCGAAATTTATAACTCAAAGACCAGGCAGAGGGGGAATCTTACAGGATCGTAAGGTTACCGATTTGTTCATGCCTTACATGGAAAATAATCCGCAACACCCTTGACAAAAAAAAAATCTAAAAAATCAGCGGTAATTTTTAGCTATTTGAATCTTGCACTTTATTATTCTAAAATTAAACGCCCTGAACACATAGACTACAGCGCCTCCGAAAAGCCTCCCAGAACCTCTTTCTCTACCTATATTCCCTCAAGAGAGGACTGGGTAGGACGGAGTTACTAAGGCTTCCGGAAGGGTGTGATGGTGCATTTGTAATCGGCACTTCTTTATCCATCGCGTCAGAGTGCTTCTTAGGTACTTCTTCTAGTTTAGGTGCCGGGCAACAGTGACATCGCTGAAAACTGCGTAGCTGATGACCTGGCGTTGGAAAGGCCCCTTTAAAACGTTATCCCCAGATAAGAAGCAACTAAGGACGCCTCTCCTGCGGTACTCTCTTGGATGGCTGCGCCTAGTGTGAGCTCAGCGAGTGCTAGACTACCACGCAAACTTCGTACTCGCAATAATGAAATTTCATGCTTTACTAAATACCTAATAAAATGGACAAAAGAAAGTGATGCTCCTTTTGTGACATAAAACAGGGAAAGAAAATGTTTTTATAAGACATTTTAAAATACTTTTTGCAGGGCAAGTAACGAGTGACCCATCGTTACCCCTTAAAGGCGCCGAATACCACGTTACCTCTCAAGAGCTAGTGATGGGAGTTTTGACAGGCCATTGTGCGATTAATATTCACTCGGTAAGACTAGGAGTTTCAACTGATCCCTTTTGTATCAGCTGTCCAGAGGAAGATGAAGTGGAATCATCTTCACACTTTCTTTTGGGGTCCAACCTTCGCCAGGCTAATATCAAAGCATTTTGGCTCACTCTTCAGAACTAACGCTGAGATCGCAGGGATCGAAATTTGCCACATTAAAAATATGGTAATCGGCTCGCGGCGTTAACCCAACCCAACAATTTATACATTTTTTAACAAATCGTCCGCTATATTGGATCCGCCATTTTGAATTTTGGAAATGTATTTTAATATTCGAATTATGTGACGACGAAAATCCCTAATTACCGAATTTCATTGAAATCTGTCTAATACATTTGGAGTAAATACCAGGGGGGCCACTCTGTAATGCGATGCGATAGCAAAATTGCGAAAATTCGGAAGATTGCCACCCTGCAATGCGACAAGCGCATTGAAAATTTTTCCCCTTTTGCATTTTAGACACTTTGTAATGCGTAAACGAAAGCCAAACTGTTACTTCCATTGCGATTTGCGTTCGATAGCTCTACAGCTATCGCAATCTACAAACTGCGTTTAATAAAGGAAGATTTCGATATACATATCTCCTTTATGTAGGAAGCTAAATCCAATAAATTCTGTTACGGGTTTACATACCGATCACACAGCAGTGAAAATTCAAATTATCCATGAATTTCGGCTAAAGCTAAATCGTGGATATTCTTAATCGAATATAATCTACCTCTTTAGCAGAAAAAAAGGAAATTACCATAAAATCCATTTCCTGCTTATAACTCTGACTAGCATTTGAATTATTTTTTAGGTTTTGGAAATTTAATTTTGGGTATTTTAACGCCATGCGGGTTTACTAGTATTTTGATACTTTCTACGACAGCGGTCTTTGTGCGGTAATTAGTCGACAGTTGCGAAAAGAACGCGAATCAGTACTTGACACTTTTAACAACAGGCAACATTACCGTGTTATAATCGCAAATATTTCAAGTTCATTTCAAATTTAAAAGTACGTACCCTGTGCCCAACGCGTTATGGTCTTTGTTAGTCTTCTAGATGACCTTGCTCATCCGACTNAACAGTTGCGAAAAGAACGCGAATCAGTACTTGACACTTTTAACAACAGGCAACATTACCGTGTTATAATCGCAAATATTTCAAATTCATTTCAAATTTAAAAGTACGTACCCTGTGCCCAACGCGTTATGGTCTTTGTTAGTCTTCTAGATGACCTTGCTCATCCGACTATGTTACGTTATCAGTTTCGATAGCAATATTTCCTCAAAATTTTGGTGATCGCACAATCACCAATCCGATGAACTTAGCGGCTTCTTACTGAACATTGTCATTGTCTTCCTAAAATCAAATGTAGTTATGAAAGTTGAACATTGTATCATATTGTCTAATACTACTAATACTGCGTTTGTAATTTCTCGAAATCGTTTCATGAAATGTAATTAAAATACATGATATGGTGTTTATGCCGGCATTTTTAACTACGTTTCAGGAAATGATTTCGTGAAAAGACAAACACATAGACATAGACATAGACTGAATTGCCATTCCCGAGTTATCGCGGTTTTAAAAGCTGAAGGATTTGTATGCTTAACGCTCGTATATATACTATTTTTGGCAGTATATACTATTTTTGGCAGTATATACTATTTTTGGCAGAACTTCGGGTATTGTGTGTGTGTTTTTTAAAATCTGTAGCAAATGCACAAGCTTTTATTTATTATTCGAGAACAGCGAAACTTTAGTTATAAAATATTTTCCAATGAAATACATATGTATATTCAAAAATAACAAAGTTATTGAAAAAAATTTAAAAGAACCCAAAAAATACCCACTTGGTTCGGATAACAGGCTAACCTAATATTCACGCACGCCGCCAATTTACTGTCAAAAATTTCTCATGCACATGCAACTTGTATGAGATCAACCGAAATTGAACGGCGTGCGTATGAAGCTAACTAAATTTCCAATTTTTGTTCTGCCTGACATTTTGATTTGACGTTTCGCTCAATGAAATCAAATGCAAACGCATGCAAGTCAATTTCGGGTGACGCAAAAAAACAAATTCGACGGCATGCGTACCAAAACGCAAGCCGCGAATATTAGGTTAGCCTGTAATGCGGTATACTATTCCACATTACGATAACGTAGCTGTCATCGCCTATATAATGTTGCCTTGGCTCCACTTTCGGATTTCCCCTATGATTCAATAATAAAAGATTGTGTAATTTGTGACAGCTAAAATTTGACACTCCTTTATCTAGATTTGTATTTTGGAAGTAGGAGAAAGGGGAAGAATGTGATCGCCTTTTGCCAAAACGGTAGTAGAAAGGTACTAAAAAAGTGCGCAAAGTATACAATTAGAAGTAAAATGTGTATAATTAATTCGATGTGAATTTAAAATATATTTGGTTTTTTAATGGAAATACTAAACAATACGTATAAATATAGATTTTTAATTTAAGTTATTCGTCATTTCCTGGAACAAATCTAGAATACCGACCGTTCAGCTATGCAAAAACGAAAAATGCAGATCAATAGAACTTTTTACGCTCATTTCAACCATGCCAAAATTATTTAGCGCAGGTAAAATATAAAGACTTTTTTGAAGGTTAAAGTTAAATTTTTTGATTTTTTTTTTTNTTTGTTAGTCTTCTAGATGACCTTGCTCATCCGACTATGTTACGTTATCAGTTTCGATAGCAATATTTCCTCAAAATTTTGGTGATCGCACAATCACCAATCCGATGAACTTAGCGGCTTCTTACTGAACATTGTCATTGTCTTCCTAAAATCAAATGTAGTTATGAAAGTTGAACATTGTATCATATTGTCTAATACTACTAATACTGCGTTTGTAATTTCTCGAAATCGTTTCATGAAATGTAATTAAAATACATGATATGGTGTTTATGCCGGCATTTTTAACTACGTTTCAGGAAATGATTTCGTGAAAAGACAAACACATAGACATAGACATAGACTGAATTGCCATTCCCGAGTTATCGCGGTTTTAAAAGCTGAAGGATTTGTATGCTTAACGCTCGTATATATACTATTTTTGGCAGTATATACTATTTTTGGCAGTATTTCGGGTATTGTGTGTGTGTTTTTTAAAATCTGTAGCAAATGCACAAGCTTTTATTTATTATTCGAGAACAGCGAAACTTTAGTTATAAAATATTTTCCAATGAAATACATATGTATATTCAAAAATAACAAAGTTATTGAAAAAAATTTAAAAGAACCCAAAAAATACCCACTTGGTTCGGATAACAGGCTAACCTAATATTCACGCACGCCGCCAATTTACTGTCAAAAATTTCTCATGCACATGCAACTTGTATGAGATCAACCGAAATTGAACGGCGTGCGTATGAAGCTAACTAAATTTCCAATTTTTGTTCTGCGTGACATTTTGATTTGACGTTTCGCTCAATGAAATCAAATGCAAACGCATGCAAGTCAATTTCGGGTGACGCAAAAAAACAAATTCGACGGCATGCGTACCAAAACGCAAGCCGCGAATATTAGGTTAGCCTGTAAGCCGGTATACTATTCCACATTACGATAACGTAGCTGTCATCGCCTATATAATGTTGCCTTGGCTCCACTTTCGGATTTCCCCTATGATTCAATAATAAAAGATTGTGTAATTTGTGACAGCTAAAATTTGACACTCCTTTATCTAGATTTGTATTTTGGAAGTAGGAGAAAGGGGAAGAATGTGATCGCCTTTTGCCAAAACGGTAGTAGAAAGGTACTAAAAAAGTGCGCAAAGTATACAATTAGAAGTAAAATGTGTATAATTAATTCGATGTGAATTTAAAATATATTTGGTTTTTTAATGGAAATACTAAACAATACGTATAAATATAGATTTTTAATTTAAGTTATTCGTCATTTCCTGGAACAAATCTAGAATACCGACCGTTCAGCTATGCAAAAACGAAAAATGCAGATCAATAGAACTTTTTACGCTCATTTCAACCATGCCAAAATTATTTAGCGCAGGTAAAATATAAAGACTTTTTTGAAGGTTAAAGTTAAATTTTTTGATTTTTTTTTTTAATATTAATATCTTATGAACCACATAACCCATTAAAAAACTAATAACGTCACCATAAAAATAATCAGTTTATCTTTCAGCTGATAAACACAATTGAAATTGTTTTTTATATATTTAAACCAAAACCAGTAAAAAACGAACAAATGTTATTTTTTCATGAAATAACCTTTTTTGGAAATAAACTGCATGAATAATGGTGAATTTATATTATTTAGAAAGTACAAGCTATTATCTTTAATTCGATATACATATTTCATTATGATCTACTTTCGGGTTTTCAGAACTAAGTGATAAATAAAAAATATAAATAAACAAAGCATCTTATATCTTCTTTATTTTTAACCTGCGCCAAATAAATTTGGCACTTTTGGTTATTTTATAGCTAAACGGTCGCTATTCTAGACTTGTTCCAGAAAATTACGCAAACGAAGGCGATGCCAACGAATGTTTAGTATGAAGAATTTTTGGTTTTACTACTAATATAACTAAAAACTGTAGAGTGAGCAACATTCTGCACAAGTAAAGGAGCCGATTTTATGTGTGGGAGCGAGAAGACTGTTTTATTACAAAACCTTTCTATTATTGAATCATGGATTTCCCCTATTTTTAGCATCTAGAATAGAAATGAAGTTCAACTAATTAAAAGTCTACGTATGGAGGGTAATGTGGTATAGTAATACCTTAACCGACCTCTTGTGTACCACAATGACCGATTTTCAAAAATTCCAAACAAACTCACACAAAATCTAGAAAACATAAATTTTCTGTTATCCGAGGCTTTTGCAATATTAACAGTTTTTTCTTTCAAAATCAATTTTTTTAAACAAATAAAGTTGATTTCTTGCAGTTAAAAAAACTTTATTTTAATTTTGGATCACATGTTTTGTGCGACTTAAAGAAAACCAACTGGTTTTACTTCATATATGTATATATATGTATTATAACCCCGTTTTTTTAAAGTCATCATACGTTGAGGTAATAACAGTTATTGTAGACTTCCCAGATTTGAAGATAGCGACAACACCACATTACACTCTTATAACACAATACCCGAAGTTCCCCTAATACTTGTTAATGGATTCCTAAATTGATACTGCGGTTTGTTCGTGGAAATACGTTATAAATGCATATAGCATATACTGTTATGTAAAAACATAAGAGACACGACATCTTGACCAGTTTTGACTCTTCCTTTCGTTTGTTTAATGTTCATTAATTTTTTATTAAAGACTAGTTATTTATATAATACTTGGCATCATATAAATCCACATTTAGAGAAAACCAAAAAAAAGGTTCTTGAGCAACACCGTGCTCCAAACACCGTGCCAGACGCAGTTAAAATAATGATTTTTCTTTTTATTTTCGAAGTATCTCCTGTCATCAAACAAACAGTCAGCACATTCGTGCCTTGCAGGGGCGGGGGAAGACGTGGGTATGGTGGGTAGTACTAAAAATGTTTGGAAGAAAAACAAGTCCAATTTAAAATCCTGTTTTAACCACAGCTGAAGAGTATTTTCGGAAGATATATTATGAAATTTTTGACAAAGTTATTTGCTCCCTGAGAAGTAGATTTGATACTGAGGGCGTGTGTGAATCGGTAACAAAGTTCTATGGAGAATGCTGTTGAATAATATTTTTACTATGGTGAGACAGTTTTGCCAATCTGGTGTGTGAAATGAAATATTTTTGACAACAGTAACTTTTTGATAACCACAAATTTATGCGGAATAAAATATTACAAATTGAAGTGAAATTAACATAAGCTTTTATTTAACGAAAAATTACAGACATCAACAATCTTTGCGATTGTCAAAATTTTCTATGCATTTGTCAAAAATTTCACTAGCCTCATGAGCTACTAAAGTTTTATTCACCTCATAGTTGTCAAAAATTCACTCGCCGCGAACTTTGTTACCGACTTACATACTACGTTTATACGTAAGCTATTTGCAAATAAAAATAATTTGCAAATACCTAACTCACTGTTTATTCGATGATGAAAAATTCTTTTTTAATATTGCCTGATTATGAAAAGGCAATAATATGACCATCGAAAAAAGAAAATAAAGTTAAAAGTGGCAACGTCTTGATTATAAAAAGGCAATAAGATGACCATCGAAAAAGAAAATAAACCTAATAATGGCGGCGTCTTGCGCTTATTTGTAAATATTACCACTAATCAATACTTATTTGCGTGATTTAGTTATTTGCAAATAAAAAATTAACTCAGCGTTTATACGGCAAAGTTTACCATTTTTCAAATTGTTATTTGCAAATAATACGTGCGTACGCTCTGAATTGGCAACGTTTTATAAAACTTTAGAAAAGTTCATTCTTGGTGAGACAGTAGATTTGAAGAATATGTCACGTTCTTTAATAATGCCACGTTTTATAATTTTGGCGAATGCAAACTCAATAGCGATAAAGATATGGCTCTGTGCATAATAAGGCGTACAGAGCAAAATCCAAGATCCGTGAAAGACCTTGTGCAATTTGTTCGGGAAATTGTGTGCGGGGCTTGTTCCTTAATTGGGACGCTCCATCAGAATACTTGCTACAATTCCAGGGTCTTCATGCTCTAACGAGAGGAGCTGTCTGTTTTGAGTAAGGCGAAATATTATTTGCGCTCGACAATGCACCAAAAACGGCTCAACCATGTAGCAACATTGCATTCTTATCCATGAACTCGTGAACGACTCCATTTCTCGAAATTCAAAACGAATGGCCGTGTTTTCACTGCAGAAATACATTTCTTTTGATGAAATGATAATTTCCATGAAATATATACAGTGGCGATCAAAACCGAGTGCATGTACGACATTTTATTACTTACAGTAACATAATTTTTTAATAAGAAGCGGTTGCTTTGAAATTTTCAGCAATTGGTCCTTATTATCTAAGGAATAAAGCCTAGTATACAGAAAAACTAAACTTAAGAAAGAAACAAGCGATTCACAGCAAAACCGCAAGGCAACTCTATTGACTCAGTTTTGAACTTTTCTGTTGTTTTGTTTGTTTCATACGTCTGGAATGCAGCCACTGCATCTCTCAATTGAACAGGCTGCAAAGCGAACCCTCCTTAACTTTGCACGAGAGGGCTTCGGCAAAGGCGAGGTGTTATCATCCAGGAACAGGGACAAGCTAGGTACCCAGCTCCCCTGGCTTTGTTCCCCAGGGACGATATTAACAGAGAGGTGGTCTTCAAGAGAAATTTCAGGACCCTCACTTACAACAAGGCGACCTGGTGTACCTCTATTATGGAGTCACATATAGGCGAGCACAATACAGTGGCACACTGACGGCTCTAAAACACCCGCGGGGATTGGAGCAGGCGTGTACGGCCCTAGGCTGAAGCTTTCGGTGCCCCTGGGAACTTTCCCTAGCATCTTTCAAGCGGAGGTCTATGCCATCAGTATGTGCGCTGAGATTAACATTCACAGGAACTATAGGAATGAAAGGATACTTATACTAAGTGATAGCCAGGCGGCACTTAGGGCCCTCTCAGCATTCGAGTTCAAGTCCTCCTTGGTTTGGGAATGTATCGAGAGGCTCAATGCTCTGGCGGAGGTCAACGATATCCAACTAATGTGGGTACCAGGGCACATGGGGGTTGCAGGAAACGAAGAAGCTGATCATCTGGCCAGAACGGCCGCTTCCTCGGCCCCGATAGGACCTGAGCCCTTTCTGGCAGTAGGACCCAACACCATAAAGGAAATGCTCAGAAGGGACAACAGCAAACAGAGGGACTTGCACTGGCTTGGCACCATGGGCCAACTTCAGGCAAAAAGCTTATTAGGAGGTTACAATCTGTCAAGATACAGGCTTCTCATGGATCTCCCAAAAGAGAAACTAAGAATTATTACATGTTTTATGACGGGCCATTGTAGGCTCAGAGGGCACCTGCATAAACTAGGTATCTGGTCCAGCGACCTGTGTCGCTTTTGCGATGCAGCCAAGGTGACTCCTCTACACCTTATGGAATATGAGGCTGTTGCACGTAGGAGGCATAGGAGCATAGGGCACGTCTGGCCAAGAGAGGAGCACATACACTCACTGTCCCCGGGGTCTATTATGAAATTTATAGACACTTTGGGGCTGGTTGATGTGTTGTGATGAGCTAGGGGCACAATAGACCTACTGGTCGCAGTGCCATACCTAACCAACTATATATCTATCTATCTACATAGTGCGCGGAAATTTCAAATCCGTGTTTTAAATTAAGGCTCAATCTTTCAACTACACGGGTAAGTTGAAAGATTTTGATTTAGATCGCGCGTTTTCTTGCAATAACCCGAAATAAGTGGGCAAATAGGATAAGAGTACCCTCTGCTAAGTCGAGTTGGCACTGTGAAATTTGGAAGCCGCATTATTAATAAACTAGTTCTCCGGAAATTTAAATATTAGTGCTAAATTAAAATTAAGTCTTTTAACTACATATGTGAGTTGAAATATTTTGATTTTAATTGCGCGTTTTCATGTAATAAATCAAAACAACCTAGCTTCCATTAGGCTTATTAAGATTACTACCTGTTTCTTATTTGTTGTTTTGGACCTAAAATGAAAGGTTTAAACGTTTTATTACACCAAATTTCCTTTAAATAGTTATTAACTCACATTTTTGTAGTAGTTCCCTTTTAAAATGCCAGTGAAAATTCTCCCAGAATAACGAAATCAATTCTCCTCCTTTTTGACATTCGTAATACCTACTTTTTTCCCGAAATACATTTTCCCTTTTTCGAAGATCGTTTAGAATAGGAGAATAGGGAAAAGAGGTAAAATCTTCAGGGAATTTTTATTCATGATAGTAGGAAAGAGAAATGAGGAAAAATTCTTAGGGAGTTTCTGTTCAGAATCGGGCTGATAAAAAATCTGCAAAGTTTCATCTTAATTTTCAACTTTTTATTGATTTTCCAGAATTTTGTTTGTTTGTGAAGTTTAATAGCTCATTAAAAAATCGCGTTTATTAATAATTTCTGGCTGTATTAAGCATTTTTTTCCACACAAAAAAAAAATTTGGAATATATTTTGAATGGAAAAAAATGCATAACACAGTCAGAAAAAAAGTATTAACAACGAAAGAGATTTTTTACCAACTTAAAACTTGCACTTAATAAATTAACTAGACTTTAATGGGCCATCTCTAGTTAACTGTCGATTCTGAGTTAACTACGCACTGTGAAATTGGCCCTTATATTGTGATTGTTATATAATGAGTAGACTTTTGTGGAAAAATAGTAAACATTAAATAAACAAAAGAAAAAAGCGTTGTAAAATAGCCAAAATTTATCACGTTGCCAGCTTAATTACCGGATCGCAAGTGTATGTGTAAAGTATTAAAATCAGTAAGACCAATCAATGGCATTCAACACGAAGTAATTTTCAGTTAGGTGAACAAGTTAATTGTTTATCATGTTAATTTGTATTCTACATTCTTAATAATAACTTACATTTTAAATGATAATTTAGATCGTGCAACACGCGTGATGCAATGAGCGAACCTAAAACAGAAATTACATCTTAATGAGACAATTTAAAAACAATGGAAAGGGGTGTAAACTATTAAATTCAGTAAGACCAATCAATCGCATTCATCGTGTAAAAATTTTCAGTTAGGGGCGAAAGTTAATTGTTCATCATGTGAATTTGTATTCTAAATGTTTCATAATATTCACTTACATTTTAAGTGATAATTTAGATCGTGAGCACACCTGATGCAACGAGAGAACCTAAAAAAAAAAATATATTTGAATACCGCAATTTAAAAACAGAAAATGTTTGTCAACAATAAAAATCAGTAAGACCAATCAATCGCATTCAACATAAAATAATTTTCAGTTAGGGGCGAAAGTTATTTGTTCATCATGTGAACTTGTATTGTACATTTTTAATAATAACTTACATTTTAAATGATAATTTTGACCGTGGAACACGCGTGATGCAATGAGCGAACCTAAAACAGAAATTACATCTTAATGAGACAATTTAAAAACAATGGAAAGGGGTGTAAATTATTAAATTCAGTAAGACCAATCAATCGCATTCATCGTGTAAAAATTTTCAGTTAGGGGCGAAAGTTAATTGTTCATCATTTGAATTTGTATTCTGAATTTTTCATAATATTAACTTACATTTTATGTGATAATTTTTATCGTGGAACACGCCTGACGCAATGAGCGAACCTAAAAACAGAAATTTCATTTTAAGTTAATTGTTCATCATGTGAATTTGTATTCTAAATTTTTCACAATATTCACTTACATTTTAAGTGATAATTTAGATCGTGGGCACACCTGATGCAACGAGAAAACCTAAAAAAAATAAAAATTATATTTGAATACCGCAATTTAAAAACAGAAAATGTTTGTCAACAATAAAAATCAGTAAGACCAATCAATCGCATTCAACATGAAATAATTTTCAGTTAGGGGCGAAAGTTAATTGTTCATCATGTGAATTTGTATTGTACTTTTTTAATAATAACTTACATTTTAAATGATAATTTAGACTGTGGAACACGCGTGATGCAATGAGCGAACCTAAAAAGGAAATTACAATTTAATGAGGCAATTTAAAAACGAAAAAAAACGGGTGTAAATTATTAAATTCAGTAAGACCAATCAATCGCATTCATCGTGTAAAAATTTTCAGTTAGGGGCGAAAGTTAATTGTTCATCATTTGAATTTGTATTCTAAATTTTTCATAATATTAACTTACATTTTATGTGATAATTTTTATCGTGGAACACGCCTGACGCAATGAGCGAATCTAAAAAACAGAAATTTCTTTTTAAGTTAATTGTTCATCATGTGAATTTGTGTTCTACAGTTTTAATAATATTAACTTACATTTTAAATGATAATTTAGATCGTAGAACACGCGTGATGCAATGAGCGAACCTAAAAAGGAAATTACAATTTAACGAGGCAATTTAAAAACAGGTGTTAATTTCTATTGTACATTTTTCATAATATTAACTTACATTTTATGTGATAATTAAGATCGTGAAACACACCTGATGCAATGAGCGAACCTAGAAACAGAAATTATATTTCAATTAGGCAATTTATAAACAGGGAAAAAGATTAAATTAAATTAAAGACCAATAAATCGCATTCATCGTGTAAATATTTTCAGTTAGGGGTGAAGGTGGAGTCATCTCAGCACTTGCTCAGGTCTAAGGGCTCATCCGCAGTGGACCGCGTCATTCGTGGCCCCATGCTGCACAAACCGAACCGCCTCCACGGCACAAAAGAGTTACGATTAGCAACACAACACTAACTCCACCACCCCAGTAAGATCAATCAATCGCATTCATCGTGTAAAAATCTTCAGTTAGGGGCGAAAGTTAGTTCTTCATTGAAGCCTTAGGTTTAAAACTTACCCTATCTTTGGGCTTGCGCTTTAGATTATTTGTTGGCTCCAAAAAATGTATATAGTACATAGCATGAAATCCTCCGATTCTGTGAAATAAAGCCTTCTTTTACTAAATTTATGCATATAACTTAACGTTATAGTTTTGCTCAATGTTTCTAAATGTACCGATACGTAAAAGATTCTGAAATTATTTTACATACCTCTATGTGGAACTTTCGTGACCCAAATATTATGGCGAAAATGTCATAAAACTTATGGCCCTATTGATATGGCGACTGGTGTCTAGTTGCCGGTCTAGTGGCCATGCCTACCAGTATCGTACTTTGTATTATGTGTAGCGATTAATCTCAGTAGACAGAAAAGCGCAGACAACATCTGAATCTACTTTTTTGACATGTACATTGCGAAGTAATTGGCAACTTTCCAATGTGTTTTAACTATTTGTGTTAACAAATAAAAAAATTGTCATAAGGGGGTAAGAGAAGATTGCACTACTAGACTCAGTAGCCGACAGTCAGTAGCCAGTTGCCATACGTAATGCGAATTTGAGTAGATGGTTCCACATCAGCTATCAGTCGCCACACATAATAGGGCCATTAAACGATATAAATAAAGCGATGTTTTCTATATACTAATGTATTTTTAGTAAGCAGCCTTTAACACATTTGCACAGCATGAAAAATTGCAGTGAAGTTTACATTTAAAAGACTTATTTAACCTTATATCTACAATAATTGTAATGTATTGGAACTAAAAACGAATAAACTTGTGGTATCAAATAGTACAAAAATATAGAAAGCGCTATATTTAAGTATACAGATTCTTTCACCCGACTTCGCATTTAAATAACTGTTTTGAAAAAAAAAAAACCAAACTTTACTGAACATATTATGCAGTTACTTAATGAATACGAAAAATGAATCATTGAGGTGTAAGCTAAAATCCATTTTTACTCCTGGTCATCCTTTTCCCTATCTTTATCCTTTTTCTTCTTCTTTTTCTTTTCTTTCTTTTCTGACGCCTGTGTCTCTTCAGCATCAACACCCTGCGTGCTTTCTTCTGCAGCCTCTTTATCTGATTTGTGTTTCTTCTTCTTTTTCTTTTCACTCTTTTCCACACCAGCATTTGTCACTACTGCGGTATTTTCATCTTGGCTAGATGCACTAAGTTTGCGCTAGAATTACAACAAAAAGGAAACCGATTTTTGTTTATTTATATTTTTAGGTAGATATGACATTACGCCTTACCTTTTTACCCTCTTCTGCACTGGCACCATTTGTTGGTGCACTTTGCGGTGCTACGGCTGGCGCTGGTTTGTTTGCACTGTAATCAACGAAACCAGTTAGCCACTCTTTTGGAGTATTTTCATTCGGGCGGCCATATTTGTCCAATTTCCCTGCCGTTATCAGCGCTTTCTTTGCCGATGCCTTTGGTCCCAAACCCCATTTACGCGGGTAAGTATCTCTCTCCATTATAACTCGTTTAATCTTTGCCACGACACCGTGATCACATGATGCCATTGTTGCTGTAGTCATCTGTGCGATTGCTAAACATATCGCCTCACCTTTAGTAGTTACGATGACAATTTCTTGATCTATCTCTATACCATCTTCGTAGCGTAAAACACCAGGTAACATAATTTTGGCACCATAACACACGGCATTCACCTGGAAATTTCGAACATGAATATTTATAAAATGATTGGTATATATGAACATATTTCAGGAATTTTTTGCATATTTATAGTTTTAACTGTATTCCGAATAATCTTTGTTGCAATGTAGGTGGAAGTCATTGCCACATACACACATCGAAATAGTATTTCTGTTCCCAATCATAGTCACAGGAAGAACTGAGAATATTTTCCCTGCCGGCTTATATCATGGGGTAGCATGGAGTACTAGAATGTTGTATGTAGGTGAACAAAGCGTTTTCAAGACACGTATGTTATATGTACGTGGGCAATGCGTCCGAGAACGATTTCCGCGACCCTTTGATTGACAATATCCACGTACTTTTGAATTAATGCACGAAAATGAATGGAGTACTTTGCATTCAAATTAGTCAGTTAATGGAAGTATATGCCAAAAAATCTTTATTTCAAATCAAGGTCATCAACAGGGAACGGATTTTATGGAAATTGCCTTTTTTTCTGCTAAAAAGATAGATTATATTCGATTAAGAATGTCCACGATTTAGCTTTCCCTGATTCCATATATACACATTTGATGTAGCCTTTTTTTGCCTTTTTTAAGATATTTGCCTTTTTTCTGCCTATTACACCTTTAAAAAGTGATTATGGCGAGGAAAAAGCCCTTATTCCTGATAATATAAAAGTTTCAAACGTTCCAAAATAATGTCTTTCGTTCATGCTTCGCCTGCTTCAGGCAGGCGCAGAGCGAAACTTATGTACAAGCAGCGCTGTGCCCAAAGCGAAATTAATGTATGTATGTACAAGCAGAGCTGCGTTAAAACAAACAAACACTATACAACGTGTATTTCGTTTGGCAACTGTTTTTGTTTTTTACTTCAAAATGCTGCTTGCTGCGATATCGGCACATGCTCACTGTAGGCTTCTGGGTGTGGCATACATACATACATTGATCTTCAGCTTTTCCTTTATTTCATAAATATAAGTTTATTAAAAAAGCAGTTGGCGCTGCGCAGCAGAAACCTTATTTTACATCGCTGTAGTAGCATACAGAATAAATAACAGCGAAGAAATGTGTGTTTCGCTTCATACAAATGCAACAAGCAGATCAACATTCAATCAATTGAGTTATGGTCTGATTGTGGCAACTTAACGTAACTTACGGCTCTCTCTTCAAAATTCTGTTAAATGGGTGTTGCTTATAATTGAACAGCAGAAACTTAACCTAACTTAATGCCACGTTGAAATCTGTTTCATTTTGATTATCTAATACTACGTTTATACGCTCGTATTATTTGCAAATAACTAAATCACGCAAATAAGTACTTATTAGTGGTACTATTTGCAAATAAGCGCAAGACGCCGCCATTCTTAGGTTTATTTTCTTTTTCGATGGTCATCTTATTAACCCTTAGCCACCTAACGTCTTTTTTATACACTCTACCTCCTAACGTCGGCCAAGGTGGCCCGTTACTTAATTTTAGTGTTTAAAGTATAAATATAATAATAAAACACGGAAAAACCGCACATAACTCTTTTGTACCTTTTATTTAATTAATATTAACAAAAAATTAACTTAAAAGAAGTTTCATNGCACTATTCTGTTATTTCAAAGATTTTTTTTTATATTTAGTAACGAAATTCCACTTTGTATAAGCCAAAAACTCAGCCTTTAACGCACTTGCTAATTTATCAACTTCGCGAAAACAATGTGCCGAATTCCCATGGTGCCCAATAATTAGACATACAGTATCGCTCATATCTATAGCACGCAATTTCAAAGTGATATTGTGTGCCACATATGCTTATTTATTTATTTTTAAGAATTTTCAATTAAAATACAGTTCTTTCTCTAACAAACCCCATATAAACCCAAGTTTAACAATTTGTAGAAAACTTCAAAAAAATGGCAACAAATTTTCACCTAAGTTTCAAACTTTTTTCTCGGAAGTGTTTGAATTTTTCTGAATACACAGTTTTATAGCCCAATCAATTTTAGTCTGATAATGTGCAAGTTTCAAGTGACTAAAAGTTACCGTTGATTTTTTTTAGAATTTTTGTTGTTGTTGTTGTTGTTGTAGTTGTTGTAGCGGCTACAACAACCCCGCCCAGGTCGGTTGGTATCTCAGTCGTTGTCGTCAAGTTCCACTAACGGCAGCCCTAGGAAGCGTGCAGCTTCTGCGGGGTTGGTCCACAAGGCCGTTAGGGTTGTCGGGTTTTCCGGGCATGCGAAGATGTTTCGAGTCATGTGGGGTCTCTCCGCTTGCCGGACACTCATTTGGCACATCCTCATTCAATCTACTCAGGTAGGAGTTTAACCTGCTGCAGTAGCCGGAGCGAAGTTGTGCAAGTGTCGTTCGCGTTTAGGTTGGCGAAGTATCTCAGAATTATTTTCGCCAAAGGTGTTGCGATTTTCATCCATATACAAATAAATTGAGTTTATTGTTTTCGCGAAGTTGATAAATTAGCAAGTGCGTTAAAGGCTGAGTTTTTGGCTTATACAAAGTGGAATCTCGTTACTAAATATAAAAAAAAAATCTTTGAAATAACAGAATAGTGTGAAGTATTTAAAAATGCCTAAAGCTAAAAGAAATTTGTCAAGACAAACGGCCCGTAATCGGAGAAGAGTAGCAGCGGCGCAAATAGAAACGATGCCTGTAATCGGAGTTAGATCTGCGTTTATTTATCGACCTCAAAACAATTATATATGTATGTAGGTGATTTTTATAATAAAAGTCTATCTACACATATCAGTGCCGTATCTATCAGTGTCAGTGAAAAATATAATATCGTTGCCCCAGTCCCAAATAGAGTTGTCCAGACCGTCCGGCACAATGCCGTTTTTTACCGTCATTGCTGCTTCAGTGTTCGTTCCGCAATTTGTTTATACACTCTAAAAACTGCATGTAAAACTGCTACTGAAAAGTGTTTATTTTCAAACAAAATCTTTGTAAGTATACGCATAAGATGTTCAAGACTGGATTTTTGAACATGAGATGTTTGAAATACACACACCAAATGTCTATAATTGCAAATGTTTTTAACGCAAAAATACAGTCCCTTTAAAAAATAAAAATTAAGTACTTTTGATGTAATTTTGCTCTATGCGACAAATTTGGTATGTAAAAGTAAACAGGCAGTTTTTAATTTTATTAACACGGTGTCTAAATTTGCACACATTAGGAGAGGAAACTGGCAACCTCTCTTAATATGCGTTAATTCCAAAACAAAAAACGTTTAGAACAAATTTTAAACATTTTATGTGTAAACTGTGTAATTGTGAACACTAAGAAAATTCTATGGAAATGTTTGTAGTTAAGTTTAACTAATGATTTAACTATATTTTAAAATGGTTAAATTAACTGCCCAAAGGCCAAATTCATAGTGCTTTATTAAAAATCTAAAGTTAACTGCCGATTCTGAGTTAACTACGCACTGTGAATTTGGCCTTAAATGTTTAGAATTCGACAAACAAATTTCAAATTTGTTCTACGCCACACATATGGTAAGTAAAAGTTAAAAAGCAGTATTTAAGTTGATTAACATGGTGTGCAAATTTGCATACATTAAGAGAGGAAACTGGTTACCTTTTTTAATATGCTTAAATTTAAACAAAAATTTTTTAGAGCGAAGTTAATTCGGCAAAGATTTCTTTGTGTATTTCACTCACGAGCTGACGGTATTCTATTGCAAGTTTTGTTTGATATGGAGGGAAAATTAATCGAGTGGGTACGGAATTATCCAGAATTATATATTTTGGCAATAATTGCCAAATTATCCAGAATTATATAATTTGGCAATAATTGCCAATTGATCATTAGTAAAATAAATCATCTTGGTTTCAATGAACTTTATTTTACTGAAAGTACCGGCCGACATACTACGGATGTGTGTGAATTGGTATCACTGATCGATGATGATTGGCAATGATACTGAACTGGTACGGCATTGATTTGTGAAGATAGATCTTAACTTTTATTATTATTACCAATCGATTACAACACGTACATGTACTAGGGTTACAATTGCCGGCAAGATGAATTATGGATACTAATAAAGGCAAAATTCTTCCCCAGAGAAGTTTTCCCAATTGAGTTTCAATGCGGTTTCCCCTTAGCTTTGATGCAAAATTACTCATGAGGCGTCGCGAAGTACGCCGGGTATTTGCTAGTATAAAATAAAGCAAGTGAAGATAAAACAAAGTTAAATTAAATATATAAATCAAATAAAATAAAAAAATATAAAATAAATAATAAAAACAAAAAAAAATTTCGCAATCGCTCCAGCCGAGGATCGAACCTGGCAGCTACATGCTTGCCACCCGCAACTCTCACCACTCGGCTACCACGGACAGGAAACTCGCCGCTTTGTTTGCTAACTTGTACAAAAGACAACAGCTGGCCGTTTTTACCAGTGTTGTACCAGTGTTCCCTGATCTGAGTTAATTCCCAAAAATTTCGTGCATTTTTTCGGCTGCTTATGCTCATTTTAAAAAGAGGAAAATGCATGAGTTAAAGCAAATAAAGGCTTGTTATGCAAATAATCGATCCCGTTTGTCTACCGTATTAACCACAGGAGATAGCAGTCTCCAATTTTCGTAAGTGTATTCATGTTTGTCAACATTTGATGTTATACTCTGGCATTATTTAGAAATAAAAGGAGATTGACATTTTTGCATCAATGCGTTTAAGAAACAGACATACCTTCAGACTAAAGTTAATTTTTTTTTGTAAAACATTTAACCACTTAACTCTTACCACAAGGTTCATCTAATTTCATTAAAAGTGGATTCAGAAGTATTAAAATTTACTACAAAAATTATACAAAAAAATTTAATAGGAATAGGAGGAAGCCTCCAATCAAACCGTAGCGCGTTATATGTTAATTTATAAATATGCCTGTTTTACCAGAAAATCTAAAAATAAGTTTTATTTACAGTCCAGTGTTATCCACAACTAAGATGCTTACCGAACTATCTTTCATAATGATACGCTTGTGGTTTACAAGTAAGCCTTCCAAAGGTTTAATTACCCGCCGAAGCATAGTCTCATCCTTGTGATTTTCATACAGGTACATAGCATCTAATACATCATGCATGGTGACCATACCATCGCGTTCAGACTGTATTCCCGAACGTACACGTCTCAATTCCAACATTTGTCCTCCCACGCCTAAGACTAGGCCTAAATGCACGCACATGGTTCGAATGTAAGATCCAGCCTCACAGCTAACCCAAAAAACACCTTTAGAATACGAGGCAAATCAAGAGGAAAAGATCGTCTTAACGATAAATGTACATGTATTGCACTTAGCAGTGCAACCGAATTAATATAGCATTTTTATTTTGTTAAAGCAGAGGAAAATAACACCACTTATATGGAGATGTGCTGTTATATCCATGTGACCAATGCCATTCGATTAACGATTTTTAAAAAATTTTTGTTTGTGCAGCACTCACCCATATTTCGCGCTTCATCATAGTCTAGTAGTTTGCTATCGTAAACAGTACGCACCCGCAACTGCCTTTTCACTGCAGAAATTAAGGGTGGTCGTTGAAAAAGAGCACCACGTAACTTTTCCAAGCCTTGACGAACTTTAGCCACCGATTCGACTGGCGAATGTAATTTGAAGATAGCTACATACTCTTTGCCAGCACTCTGTTGTGATTTAACTAGCCGCGTGGCACGATCAATACATACAATGAGACAGCCTAGAACAATACATTAGTTATACGAATGATGTATACGACTGCCTTTTAAGCAAAACAAAATGTATATTGTCGTTTAAAGTACAAAACCGCGTATCAACAAAACGCAGAACCGCGTATCAACAAAATGCAAAACCACGTATGTGAAGTTGAATAAATTATTTTCTAAAGAGTAAACACAACTATATTTTAAAGGGTTCTCTTTTTTATAAAGAAATCGCATTTCTGGCTAGTATATTTCAGGACGAATGTGAAAGGATTGAGCCGAGCAGTTACGCGGTTCCCACGACAGTCGGGTCTACGTAACCGGAACGACCCAGATTTATATCTGGCCAAGGACTGTCACTCCAGCAACACTTCCCAAAGTCTTTGGGGAATTTTTATGCTGCTACCGCCGGTTTTGCAGAATGACGATATACGGTTTTGTACTTTAAACGACGATATGAACATACCAGTGACTTTCGGATCGAGAGTGCCAGAGTGCCCAGTTTTCTCAACCTTCAAAATTTTTTTTATCCATGCGACTACTTCATGTGAACTGGGGTTAGATGGTTTATCTAAATTAATGAAGCCGGACTTCATATACTCCTTAATATCTCTATTCAGTGGAGAGGAACCATGTGGTAATGGTGTATAGTGGTTTGTTCGTACGTTCAACTTGTCAAAACTTTTCAATAGCAATGGCCATTGTGAAGCATCTAACTTGGCCGTTTTTTCCGATGGTTTCACCGAAAAGTCACCAGTTTTCTGCAAAACACCAATATCATCCAAATCAATAGGTTCTTCCTTGATTTTTTTCTTTTTCTTTTCCTTCTTGATTTCTGAAAGTAATTTTATAGAAACCACGAGGCATAGGCATTTTAAAAATGGGTGTAAAATAAAGAGAAAACTATGTACATTCAATTTAATAATCGAAGCAGCGATATATGAGCATTTTACGTTTCCTAATTTTACTTACCGATATCCGCCATAATTCCTAGATTCAAATATAAAATTTAGAAGCAACACGAGACACGTTTTTGGGAGCAAGACGTTCGGCGCGTAAAAGAAAGGTTAGACTTGAAAACTGTCAAAACGTAGGGTTGCAAAAAGTTGTTAAGCACGTGGTCCGTTTAAGCTAACTTTACATGAGGCAATTTTTTGACAGACCTAATCGCCCGCATAAGTTGACTTGTTGTCTACTTTGAGGCAGGCAATTTTTGAATAACCATTTACACGAGCGCCTTTTCTTGGGCAATGTTGATTCGCCTAGAAAATCAGCGTTGGCTGCCCCCAACTTCATTGGAACGATTAGTTGAAAGGCCGTTCAAACCAGGCGATTCCTGAATGAAAAACAAAAGATCAAGCAGGAACAAATAAATACGAAGTAGATTTTTTGAGCCGGTTCTACGACATCTTGTTTCGCTGGAAAACGACCGAAAAGTAAACAAAGTAAAGAAAACAACGAAAATCAAACATAGCCAAAATTATTGTCAGCCACTTTAAGCACACAATTTAGGTAAAATTAATCATTAAGGGCCGGTTACTCAATGTCTGGTTAACACTAATCTCCGGTAAAACATCGTTATCGACGTTACCAACTCCATGTTATATGCATGATGTCGAAAACGTCGATAATGATGTTTAAACGGAGATTAGTGTTAACCACATATTGAGTAAACGGCCCTAAAACGCTTTAGGGCCGGTTGTTCAATGTCCGATTATCACTATTTGCCGGTTAAACATCATTATCGACGTTTTCGACATCATGCATATAACATGGGGTCGATAAAGCAGTCGTTGTATTTAACCGGAGCTTCCACCTCCGATTTGTGCTAATCTAAGGGCCGGTTCCTCAATGTCTGGTTAACACTAATCTGCAGTTAAACATCGTTATCGACGTTACCGACTCCCTGTTATATGCATGGAGTTTTAATCAAAGAAATGTACGTATTATGCACTTATACCGGCCTCTTCACTTTTAGAATCAAAATATCCCCGGCCTCTCCTCCCCCCTATAACCATGAACCAATTAGAACAGATCTGACCGGTTGAGAAGCAGCCATTTGTAATAGCAATTGAGGAAAAAGTGTATGGCGGTAGTAATTTTGAAGTTTGCTATTTCTGTTTTGCTTCTTTCTTTATGTGTATTTTGTCGGTGGTTTATTTCAGTGATTTTTAAGTGATTTTTTGTGCAAATGTAATTAAAATGAAGTGCGCGGTGATTGGATGCAAAAACACGTACAAAAATAATAAGGGCCGGTTACCCAATGTCTGGTTAACACTAATCTGCGGTTAAACATCGTTATCGACGTTACCGATTCCCTGTTATATGCATGTAGTCGAAGACGTCGGTAACGATGTTTAATTTTTCTTAATTTATTATATATAAATTAAACAACCGGCCCTAAATTGGTTAGCCCAAAAATTTTCACAACATTGCTTGCATTTTTTCTTTATGCTTCGTCTTCATATTCTTTGTTTACTTTTCACAGAAAATAACATGGCGCCGAAATTACAAACGTCAGTCAGAAAATTACTTTTTTCTTTTGCTTCGTCTTGTCAGATCGTGTGTAGTTGGATCATGCCCTATACCCGGAAATTTTTTTTCGTGTCGATTTGCACTAAAATTTTCCCAATACAACGTCGCGTTCTTGCGTGATCTCGTATTTTTGGTGTATGTAAATCTACCATGATCCTATTGGCGTCCTAGCCCTGCGTTGTTCTATACTCGTTGCAACCCTGTGTAGTTTTGCTGAATACTGCTGAAAACTATTGCCCGACGTTGGGGTTTATTAAATTCAAAATGGCATTTTTTCGACTTGGATAGAAGAAGGTGGTTGGTTTTATAGGATTTGTGTGTTTAAAACGTGTCCAAAGATTGGGATAAATATTGTCAAAAATAATCAAAAACTTTAAAACATCGTGAGAGGGAGTTTGCGAAGAACGAAAATGCCGCGTACTAAAGTATCCAAGTCCAGTAAGCGCTTTCGCGAGACATCTAACTGCGAAGAAAAATTGCGGGAGTTCGAAGCATCTTTCGATAGCTATCTGCTCACCTTGGAAAAAAAAGGAAAATCTCAAATTGAAGCCATAGAAGACAAACTTTATATGTTATTGGTAATCACAGATTCGAGCGTTTTGCGTTTACTTATGGGTGATATACTGTCTTTGGTAGGTACAGAAAACGATATGTATGTCCATGATGCAAAATTTTGAATACTTGTATCGTGCAATATATCTACATACATACATATCGCTAATTTACTTCAATATTGTCATAACTCAAAAAAAAAACTAAACTCGAGAAAAACGGCTTTAAAGTCTTCAATTTACAAACATGTACTCGCGTAGGAAAGATGAATACAAATTTTGTTCTACTGAGGTTCTGGTAATCGGTACATCTGTAATTTTTACACAACATAGAAGACGTAGCGATAAATTTCTGCGCACTTAACTCATTTATTTTATTTTTTGAATTATGACATTATTATACATATGTATCTACATCCATTATAAATAATATGTATTCGTTTTTAAGAATTTAACAAAACTCGAAGATTGCAAAAAGTATGCCAATACTTTAGCAGACAATAGCGGAGGCCGTAAGCAAAATTCTAGCAAGCAATTAAATCCTAACGATGAAGGTAATTCTTAACTTTGATAAGTAGAGACTCTGCAACGCATTTATCTTTCTTTTGGTAATGGTCTGGGTTCATTTTCTGATTTCTTTTCTTTCGCTTTCTATTGATATATAAACTTCACTCATGTTCATCTACCAATACATTCGCCACACATTTATCATGCATCCTAACAACAAACAAAACAAAAATTGGTAAAAGGTTACCTTACAGAGGATAGTACAAATGGCGGCAGTGCAATAGGTGTATCGACGTCAATTTTAACTGCTTATAGTCGACCGTCTACAAAGCAGCAGCCTCAACGTGGTCCATTAAGTTCAGCACGAGCTCGAAGACCGCGTCGCAGCCGTTCAGTGTGCGATGACAAAGTGCATTCTGCAACAGTTAAGTCCACGTCAAGTACATGCAGTATAATGGATACACGCGTTTCGCGTAGTAAAATGCGCACTCCAACTGCATCACGTTCCAAGGCCTTTAGTGCTGATCGCTCGTCGCAAGTTTGTGGGCAACAATCTCCGGCAGCAGCTTTTTTGCGTTGGCCTAAACCTGGCGAAATGGTTTTGTCCAAATGCGGAAGTCCAGTCGTAGCTCATGTGTAAGTACTTTATTTATAAATTGATCAAACTCCGATTTTGTTTTTCCATAAAATAGAAATTTTAGAAAAAATTGTGTATCTGTATTACATCTTAAATGTGCGATGGTCCTCTGCAACGATACAACTAAAAACTAAAAAAAAAGTCCATACTATTATTGAGTGGCTCATGCCTCTAATCCTTACTCAAGCAGTAGTAGGATTAGAGCCAAAGAGGACCTTAAGTAGAGGACCATCGATATGAAAATATTTTGTGTTACAAAATAATTATTTGAGAATTTGTTTATTGTTCAGCATGCCAGATAAATATGCGAATGTCAACATCCCTACAAGAAACGGAATATTTTCTTTACGCCCAAAGAAACTGGAAGACCTAAAGTCAGATATCGTTAACGCAATCGATCAAGAGACACTCGACCAAATCAGAACTTTGCACGATAATTTAAATTTGATCATGAAAATGGCAGATGGCTCCTTACCGAAATAGGACTACATAATAGTTTATTTGTTTTTTATAATTCACTTTCCCATACATACATACATATATATGCATATTACATTATACATACATCTTTTGAATTATTTGAATCTACATCGAAGTAAATTTTAAAATAATGTATCCCACTTTGTGTATGCGAATTGGAGAAAAACAAACTTTTGTCTATTCAAAAGAAATTAAACGCAAAGGATTTATATCCTTGAGTAGAAAATACATTTAGAAAATGCGAATTTATGCTGAAATTAGGCTGTTGTCAAACTGCTCGCAAACTTCTGTAGAATTAGTTAAAATACGTTTATGAAGCAATAAATATGTATTTTATATGCATGATTCGAAAAGTTTTGATTAATGTCCTTGGCAAAAAATAAATGGATGACTTCCCGAACGTTAGCTATGCTACACATGTAAATTCAAATATACCTAAGGGCCTACTCTGTAATGCGATGCGAAAGACAAATGCGATGCGATAGGCAATCGCCACACGTATTACTTACGACGTATTTCTCTTTCGCATCGCATTACAAAGTAGCCCAAACTGGATTTATGTTATGTGCAGCAGTGGCATCTTAAAATGTATAGCTACACGGTTTCAGCATCACATTACTGTTGGCCATGGGTTCAGAAATGCATCAAGCCAAATCATCTGGCTATTTTATTGGGTACTCTTTATGAATTTGCACAGCGATTTTGGGTTGCTGTGCCCAAACGCGTGAATCGAATCAAAAACCTTTTACACACTATGTATGGTATTTTATGCAAGTTTCCGAGCTGAGCTTTAAAAGAAAAATCCACGAAATATCTGCAAAAGGTGTTCAGCCCCTCTTGTTTAGCAAAACAGAAAGGAGAATTATACTTTTCATAAAGCGGCGTTCAGGGAGCCACGCCCCTCCCCCTCCGCCCCCACCCCCTAAATCGTTGTACAAATAGCTAAATATTTTCCATTTTATTTGTAAACTATAATTAATGAAAATACCTGACATATTCATCAACTAAAGTTTAGAAATTAAAGATATTCAGCCCTATTCTGCATTTCGACTCGAATCGAAATTTTCTCCGTTTGGCAGCTTTGGTATTCTGCGTTCCGTTTCCTTTCGATCAATCTTCGAAATTTACGATTATACCTATTCTACATTTCGATCGTAGTTCCGTTTTTCTAAGTTGCAAATTTGTTGACGGAGAACGTTTCAATTGTTATTTTCGTGGGTTTAAATAATAAAATTTTATAAAAAATTTAAGTGAAATACACTGTGCATGATTGCAAGTCATCATAAATGAATTTTCTCGATTTCTGTGTTTTCACGAGCGGTAATTGAACTCGTTTTTACTAACTTTTTCAAAAGAGGTGCGTCTGTTGTCTC